TTGGGAGGGGCCTAATTACCTGTAACCAGTCTTGAAGGCATAATAATTCTTAATAATTATTTTTCTTTTATGTAGTACAATGGTTATCTAATCACCCATTTTCCTAGACTATTTCACACACATAAAAAAAAAATCTAATCTTAAACTGATCTGTTGACAGTCTTTTTTTCCCCCTGCAACTAGATTGTTATATAAAAAAATTTAAAATATATTTTATTGATTTTTTTTACAGAGAAGAAGAGAGAGGGAGAGTTAGAAACATCAATGAAAGAAAAACATTGATCAGCTGCCTCTTGCATAGCCCCTACTGGGGATATGCCAGAAACCAGAGTACATGCCCTTGACCAGAATTGAACCTGGGACCTTTCAGTCTGCAGGTTGACACTCTATCCACTGAGCCAAACCGGTTTTGGCAATTGTTATAAAATTTTGATACAGACACAAAACTAAATTGTAAAAAAATATTTCATTGTATTATTTTATAAAACTTACTTCTTGTTTTGTATTAGTCTCTTCACCCACCTAACTAGCTTTTACATACTTTGATGATAGAAATATTTTTTTTTCATTTTTAAAGTCCTAGTACCTAGCATACTAAGTACAGATTAAATAAAGATCAATAAAAAAGAGTGAAAAATAGGCAGAAATGAAGGGCATCAAGCCATATTAAGGAGGTTATGGAAGGAAATGAAGTTTGTATTCCAATGTATTTGAGTATCTATAAGGTCATTCCAATACAACAGACCAAGAGCATAATTTAGGTACAAACAATCCATGTTCTGAGAAAGTACTTGCCCAAGAAAGCATATAGAAACATTTTTTGTTGCATTACAAACATGAGAACACATTGAAGCTGACTAACAAATCATTTTGTTACACTTTAACTTGGAAACCCATTGAGAATGGCTAATAAAATATTTTAAATAATTAAAATAATGCTCATGGTTTAGCCAGAATAAGGAGACTATAATGTACCCAGAAATTTCTCTGAATCTTAATAATAATAATATTTTCTGCCTCATAGAATTATTGTAACAATAAAATTAAAATGCAAAATATCTACTGTTGTCTTTGGCCCATGGTATATCTATACCTATATCTAAATTAATGTTTAGATACTGATACACAAAAACATAGATTGATTGAAAAGTATAGATATCTGGCATTACTTATAATGTTATATTAACTACATTAGAAATAAGGAAACTACAAGTCAACAAGTGATTACTTTCTCAAGTCACAAACCTCTTTAATATCAAAATATGGAAGCCAAGTTTGCCATGGATTTTTAAAAACCCTAATAAGCACCAAAAGCCCCACAATTGAATGAAAAGTGATTCGATAGCTATCTATATCACAACGCCAAACTCTAGACAGAGTAGGGATATTTCTACTTGAACCCATTTGCGGACATGGTCAGTTAAATTTTGCTTTCTCTTGAGTTCGAAGAGAGTATGCTGTTAAAGTTAAACTTGTTAACATTTCATCACAAGGGAAATTAGTCAAGCACGCTGAAAGTGTTTTTACTCTTAATGTGGTATACAGGGAGATACTAGAATAAGTTTAATCAATGTATCAGACATTGCTTTTATCAATGTTGTTTTTATTGTTTTTATAGCATGTTTTTGTTGTTTTTATATCATATCGTTGTTGTTATATCATATTATTATTGTTTATTTATATCAACTTATATATTACTTTCATATACATTTTACTAATTTTCTTTTACCTCTCACACTTCTATTATAGAGAAAGGGTGAATAGCAATATTAAAATATTTCTTCTAATTAATTTCCTTTCAATGTGCATGAATCTGTGCACCACGCCACTAGTAGACAAATAAGTAAACCACCATTCTTTCTGACATGTCTATCAAAACCTCAGGAGCCTGGTTCCTTTCTCATGGACTTTTCCCTTATAAAACTGCTCTAGCACATTGCAAGATTTCCTCTCACAAGTCTCATCCACCCAGAGGTCTTGGTCTTTATTTTTCTCAACATTCCTGCCTTTTGTTATGTGGATCTTGTTATCAGGAACATCTAGCTACACTCTAGCACACAAAGCCCCACACAAAGGATTTTTGTTCTATCACCAAATATTCTCTGTAAGGAAGTTGACATCTTTTAGAAAAGAAGATCAAGGACTTCCCCAGGGACATGCATTTATAGTGTCTCTGGTAAAACATTTTGCATTTACATATTATTCAAATTATTTTCTGAGTTTAAGCCAACCTGAGATAATATTCACTGTAAAATGTTTATAGCTAAGAAACATAACTGTGGTCTCTTAAACTGATGTTCCTGGAGGAGAGTTTCTCTTATGTTCAACCATTTACTCAAATGGAACAAAATGCCTTCTCACTCAACCTGTGCAAATGTGCAGATTCTGAGATTCTCTTAAACTTTAACCTTTTGTGTGTAAAATTGATTCATATGTCTGAGGCAAATATTGTATCAACCTTAAATATCTTGCAACATATTAAAATTAATTTTCAAGTTTTAAAAAAGTAAAGCAATAGCAAAACTAAGATTTATTTAAGATAAACTCTAATTAAATTGCAACGGCAAGATTAGATGAATGTCCTCTAAAAACATGAACGCCCCACAAACTACAGAATGGCTTTTCTAAGCGTGTGAGCTCTGTTCATTAATTAAAAATACCCTTTGCGCCGGTTTGGCTCAGTGGATAGAGCATTGACCTGTGGACTGAAAGCTCCTAGGTTCGATTCCAGTCAAGTGCATGTACCTTGGTTGTGGGCACATCCCTAGGAGGGGGTGTGCAAAAGGCAGCTGATCCATGTTTCTCTCCTATCGATGTTTCTAACTCTCTCTCTCCCTTCCTTTCTGTAAAAAAATCAATAAAAATATATTTAGCCAAAACCGGTTTGGCTCAGTGGTAGAGTGTCCGTCTGCGGACTGAAAGATCCCAGGTTTGATTCCTGTCAAGGGCATATATGTTGGTTGCAGGCACATCCCCGGTAGGGGGTGTGTAAAAGGCAGCTGGTCGATGTTTCTCTCTCATTGACATTTCTAGCTCTCTATCTCTCTCCCTTCCTCTCTGTAAAAAATCAATAAAATATATTAAAAAATATATATATATATTTAAATAAATTAATTAATTAAATTAAATTAAATTAAAATACCCTTTGCATTTTAAGGAGCAGTGAGCTACTATCTTGAATCATGAGTAAAGAAATTTCCCAAGCAACTTTTGATAAGCTCATTTCTGGTGTTAACCACAATATTTGATACCAAATAAAACTAATTTTTCATATCTGAGTTAAACCATAAATAAGCTCTTGCTTGTAGTACTGCATAATAGTGTAAGAAGTCTATCTGAGTCCATGGGATGTCTTATAATCTTTTTGTTTGGCTATTATCACAAGATACTACATTCTTGAGGTAAAAACTATCAGAAAAAAATTAACACTTGATTAGACTACATTATTGGATTAGATTAGGGGACTATATTTTCTCTGCCCAGAAAGTGACACCTATTTTTCAATTTACATCTATAAAAGAGCTAGCAAACTATACATTTTTATTATGGCTGTCAATGTAAGCCTAGATACCTGAAAGTAATGTCTACACAAGACAATAGGTTAAAACATGTAAAGTTTTAGACAGTGATTTCTGAATTACCAGAAATGTTGACCACTAGATTGTAATTGGTTATTGGGCTATTTACTCTTTTCCTTCAAGAATACCCCTTATTAAATTAATAATTGTTCTAACTTCAGTTCCTTACACTTATTAAGGTGAAAATATTTTAAATTAATATTAGGTTTGTACTATGAAAACATTTCTGGTCATTTCTTATCTGTCACTCCTAATACAATATCTAATGGCTAATAATTCTACATCCTAGGAAATTTTGCTGGATATCAGTGGAACCAATGTTTAATATAATAGGCACACAGTTACTAGCAATGTTATTCAAGAATTTGAAGTCAGAATGTTTAAGTCCTGCTTCCATCATTTATGAGCTAAATGATTTTTGGGGAAAACAGATTGTCAGAGTATAAGTTTCCTCAGCTGCTGTTGTAGAGAGCAAATGAAACATATAAGGAAAATAGAGGCCCAGTGCACAAAATTCATGCACGGCGGGGGAGGGGGGAGGGTGTCCCTCAACCTGGTGGATGCCCTCTCCCAATCTGGATCCCTTCAGGGAATGTTCTACTGCCAGTTTATGGGCCTAAACCGGCAGTTTGACATCCCTCTCACAATCCAGGATGCTGCATGCACAAGGGACCATACTTTTCATACGGGTGAAAGGCATCTTGCTGTTGTATAAGCAGCTACATTTTTTTTTTTTTTTTGCCCTGATTACAAAATGTAGTACACAACATGATCCTTCTGAGGCAGTAGTACCATTTTCTTCATCTTATGGGTGAAAAAACTGAAGCAGAGAGAAGTTAAGTAATTGGCTTTGTCACACAGTTATAAGTATCAGAATCAGAGCTGACCACAAAATGTGCAATCCAGAGTCCATGCATGTCATCACTGTATCATCCTGTTTTTTCAGTGTTAGAGTAGCCTTACCAGGATTTAATTTTTAAATCTAATTGACTGTTCCCAATATATAGGGTAGGATCCTTAGGCTGGCCTAGCAATCAGGGCCAACCTATGGAGTAACCAGCAGGCAGATGATTGGGGGACCCCATTGGCACCCACCTTTGCTGGCAGCCTGGCATCACTTGCTAGCTGGCCCTGCCCCCTAATCACCATCACCAATCACCTTCCTCTCAGGGGACAGTGTGCATCACAGTAATGGGTCATCCTGACAGTCATCTCGTAGTTCAGTGAATTTGCATATTAGGGTTTTATTATATAGGATTTATTAGAAATTATACCAAGCATGTCAAACTCATGACTGGCAGACTGAATGCAGCCCATAATGGATATTTTTGTGGACCAGCCAATATAACAGTGTGACCAGTTATTTACAATTATGAAAGGAAATAACTCTCCTGTCAGATCCAGAATTACTGACTTTCACCTTGGGTCAGTTTTGAAAGTAATCACTGTGAACAAGATTTCCCCTGAAGTAGGAAAAATAGTAGCAGAGAAGAGTTGCAAAGTGTCAGGAAGAAAAGATTAATTTTATCATTGCTCTTGTTCTTTTTTTTTTTTTTTTTTTCTCATCCTACTAGAGGCCCAGTGCACAAAATTCGTGCAGAGAGGGGGGGGGGGTAATGTCCCTCAGTCCAGCCTGCACCCTCTCCAATCTTGGACCCCTCAAGGGATGTCTGACTGTCCATTTAGACCCTATCGCAGTAGGATCAGGCCTAAACTGGCAGTTAGACATCCCTCTTACAATCCAGGACTACTGGCTTCCAACTGCTTTCTTGCCTGCCTGCCTTCCTGATTGCCCCTAACTGCTTCTGCCTGCTAGCCTGATCATCCCCTGACCATTCCCCTGCCAGTCTGATTGATACCTAACTCCTCCCCTACCAGCCTGATTGCCCCTAACTGCCCTCACCTACAGGCCTGGTCACCCTAACTGCCCTCCTTGCAGTCTTGATTGCCCCAACCTGCCCTCCCTTGCAGGCCTGGTTCCTCCCAACTGCCCTCCCCTGCTGGCCTGATCCCTCTCAACAGCCCTCCCCTGCTGGCCATCTTGTGGTAGCCATCTTGTATCCACATGGGGCAGCCATCTTTGACCACATAGGAGCAGTCATCTTGTGGGTTGGAATGATGGTCAATTTGCATATTACTCTTTTATTAGATAGGATATTTTTTTGAAATAAACCTATGTTTCTATGAAAATTGAAGCTTTTTTTTTTTTTTTCAACCCACATAAACTTAAAACCTTGTTTATTTGGCCCATTTTAGCCTTTGAGTTTGACACTCTTGAATTATACTATGATACATGTGTTTGTAATGTGTTCATTATATAATATGGGCAAATACTTGGAAAGTATAATTTCTAATCATTATTTTGAATATACAAAAAAAAGTAAAAATATCTATTTGACTTTCATAGCTTGAGTGTTTTTCTGTTAGATTAAGCATTCTCATCAGATGTGTTTTTAAAGACATTGACAATCATAATATAAGAGCAAATGTGTGAAACCCTGAAGATTTTGCTCTTCAAGGTGTCAGCTAGTTCATAGTCACATTAGCAGCCCAATTGCAGGGCCATGGAAAGGTTTTATTCCTCATTTATGCATTTGACTTCATTCCAGACTGACCCAATTCACTTGACACTATCTGAACTGCAGGTAGCTAGTTAGTTGTGTAATTACAGTTCCACAGTTTCTGTTTAATACTATGAACTCAATTTAGTTGTACAAAGTGAATGCAAGATCAACACATAGATTAGTTCTTTAAAGACTTTTTGATCCTTTTGTATTTTAATAATTTTTCCAAATGCTATTATTACTTCTCTTAAAGATTTGGTTCCTGAAATCATTTTCTCGATACAAGCTTAATATCTGCTGAAGAAAGCTGCAGAAAAATGTTCTATACTGCAAGTACTAAGCCTTCATTCTTATAATCAACATAAGCTTTGATTCTTTATCAAATTGGTATCAACTGCTCATTACATTCTATCCTACTAGTATAAGCTCATGCTGACTTCACTATCAAACTCTTCATTGACAATTGTATATTTCTTTATTTTGCTTTGGCAAATATTTTTAATGTATGTTTTGACTTTTGGAAGGACTACTTTTTTAATTTTATAGGATTTTGTTGATATTTACTACTAATAACAGTTTTGTATTCAGCAACATGTAAATATAGCTAGCTAATTTTATCACATAGGATTTTCACAATCTATATTCCAATTAAGTAACCATTTGCTTATAATTAAATTTATCTCAAAAGATTAGCAGTAGACTTTCAAATATTTATTTTGAATAATATCCACCCTCAATTGCAAATGAAAATCATCATCTTGAGATTTATTATTTTTCATACTTCAAAAGCTAAGTTATGTTAGCATAAATGGTAAAAGTCCTTTGAATCAAAATGCCTTTGTGTTTATACAATTATTCATTCCCTTAATTATTCAACAATGACTCATTTGGAGTGTACTCTGCACTAGAAATAGTATTGAAAATGTATACAAGAAGAATAAAGTTAAGTAAGATATACTGCCTTCAGAGGACTCAGTTTAGCAGTAAGAGAAATTGTTACATATAACAAAGTATTTATTAAATATAATATGTAAGAGCTGACAAATCTAAACCTTTTCTGCCTCTGAGATGAAGGAGAAATTTCATAGGGAGTGATATTTAAACTGAATTCTGAAGAATCCATAAAACTACCACATGAAAAATGTTTTAAAACATGTAAATAAGAAAGCAAATAAAAGTGAAAAGGTTACTATAGTGTGGTTTCTATTTGAATATTATGCATCCTGGCTTTTCTTTAGTATAAATGAGCTACAGTGTTTCTCCCTCCTTTGTTGTCTGTAACTCTCTGGAAACAATATTTTTGGATTGGTATTTTACAAGAATTTGTGCCCAGAGAAAATCCTAACCATGGCTTATATGCTAATTCTCCCACCTTTATAGATGTATAATTTGAAAGATTTTTTCAGTTGCTTAAGGTAGTTGAGAAATTTAGAAAGATATTGATAATTAATATTTATTTTACCTCAATTGTATTTATAATTTTAGAATTGTGTTGTAGGTTTACCCTGTATGCTTTTCCAGTTGCTGTATATAAACTCTGTAATGTATTGCTGTCAATTGAATTTTATTTTGTTGTTGAGTGTGCCATATAATTTTAAAGAATGATTAACAATTACATACTATTTCTTTTCTGTTTATTGTATCTAAATTCAAGCTAGGGTCCCTATAATGAACTTGTAATTTATTAATATGTAATATGTATAACACTTACCAAGTATTATAAACTGGATACTTATAAATTCATATGTTATAGTCCTAACACTTGATGCTTAAGCATCCATCTTTTATGAAAACTGCTGTTTGAAATTTTAACCCTGCTATTTGGCTTCTGTAAATTCTTGCTTGCTAAGATTACTCCCACTTCAGAGAGGCCATTAAACCTTCTCCAGACAAGGTTATCAGTGCTGGCACTAGGCTAAGTCTCTGGTTGAGGTCTCAAGGCCCAGAACATACAGGCTCTTTAAGAACTTGCAAACGGGGCCGGAAACACTTCTTATTTGGGAGACAAGGAAGGTAAAAAAGATATAAATAGGAAAATTTCCTGTATGTTGGGGCCCAGAATTTGAGAGACATTTTCCTCTGGACCCACACGTAATAAATGTAATTCCATCTCTCTAAGTATTGTTTTGTTCTTCTTTGGTTTTCTGTAACAATGTAATGGTATTAAGAGGTGAACCTTTGGGAAGTATTTGGGTATAGATGAGGTCTTGGAGATGGGGTCTACATGATAGAATTAGTGCCTTAATAAGAGAGACCTGATAATTTTCTGTCTTTCTCTCCATCATGTTGGGATACAAGAAGGCAGCCATCTGCAATACAGGAATAAAGTTCTGACCAGCACACAAATCAGCTTACAGTTACTGTCATCTTGGACTTTTTAGCCTCCAGAACTGTGAGAAATGTGTCTGTTGATTAAACCTCACAGTTCATGGTATATTGCTCTATCAATCTGAGCTGACTAAGCTATCAAGTTTTAGTTTTGTATTTCTGCATGTACAAAGTTTACTCTTGGATAAACTAGTAAATGTTAGCATACTAAAAAGCATTCCTTGATCTTAGAAAACTTTGCTACAAGTTTTTACCAGTTACTACTCATTCTTGAATCTTGATTTTGAAGCCTTTTACTTAGTTCATCTTCTTTTCAATATGAATTTTACTTCTAGTTTTTCAGAAGTATCAGGAAATTTTGTTTAAGTAAGTGAAATAAAATTTTAATGAAGTTGTATATTGGTCCCAGGCTGTTTCTTAATTTTTTCATTTCTGTGCAAACAATTGGACATTTACATCTTTGAACATTGTCCTTGCTTGGCTCAGTGTGACAATTACTTAGCAATATCTATCAGGGTCGTATTGCAATGATATTCTGTCTACTAACCTGAGCAGACTACCTGTTCTGAGATATGGAATGTCCCAAGAACACATGCATTGTATGCCTGTGCAAAATGCACATGTTGTTTATTTGCACAACCTGTCATTATTTAGTAAGTCAAATTATTTTCTCCCCTCCAACATTTCCACTCTTCTTATATTCTGTGTCTAATTATATGACTAAAAATGAATCTCTAATGATGATGCTGTTTATATATAGAAACACTCAGTAAGATTTCCCTGCAGCAGTTTGTTTTTCCTCCTTTTTAACAAAATCAATACCTCTGCAAAACTTATAGTGCTTTATATCCCCAAAAGAAATGTCTTGAATAGAGATATTTAGGCATTTTTTATAATGGGGAATGTTCTATAATTTGATAGTACAGCTTCTTTTGGAATATGCCCTATTATGTAGTGGCCTGCACTTAGAGACAATTCAAAAAATGGAGAGGAAAGCAGGAAACTCAATGCTCTGTTTCTTGATCTACTTCTCACTATGTGATGCTTTAGAATTAATAGTGTTTAAAGTGACCACAGAGCTACAAAATTACACATAAATTATATCCGAAGAAGACAACTCATTAATTTTTTTCTTTTTTATGTGTTAGATGATTCTAAGTTCTTATTTTAATACCAAAACCTTGTAAAATAAGTCTTCCTATCCTCGTTATATATGTGTAGGTACCAATAGTAACTCAGGTTCAGTTACTTTCCCATGTTCTTACCAGGGCAGAGCAAGGATTCCAACAGTCTGCTTTCTCCAAAAAAAATCACTTTCTCAATTGGTAAATTGCATAACTAGACTATTATAATAATGGGTTAAAAAGTGATTTTTTTTTTGGTTAAAAATCAATGAGGAAACTGTGTGGTGAAGAATGTCAGACCAAAGAGAGAGAGAGGTAGAGGGAGGGAGAGAGAGAGAGAGAGAGAGAGAGAGAGAGAGAGAGAGAGAGCGAGAGAGCTTATTCAAGGACATTTACCCATTGCATTGCATTATAACAATTTTTCCTGATATAAAATTCTTATAAAAGCAAAATTTTTATTCTAATTTGGCCAATATTTTATGAGTACCCACGATGTGCCTTTAGCATTGTGATAAGAAGTAGGACCCATTGAATGGAAATTGGAACTGCGGTAACCCAGAGAGCCTTTCCTTAAGACCCAAGGTCAAGGGAGGAGGAAATAGGTCTGTGAACCTGAGAAGTGAAGTCACAGACACCATTGGTTTTATAAATAAGGACCATAAAACCGTTACATGCTGGGGCTTTTCTTTAAAACCTGCCCAGATGGGATCCCTGCATCTTTATGATCCTAACAAGTCCTACCCAAATACGATTCTACTCACCGAAACTTCTTTACCTTTAGTGCTATTTGCTTAACCTTTAGTGCTTTCTGAATTATGGAATCACATAATTGAATTAATAAATTAGGATCACCAGTAGTTTTCCTAAGTCTTCCTTGTTGATAAAAGATATAAATTGTTTGAAGTGACAGTGCTCTCCAACTTATAGACTCTGTATATTACAGTCTCAAGGCCATTATCTTCATCACTCACCAGTAAACATTTTTACTCCTCTATTCCCCCACAAGTAAATGTTATACCTGGGAATCATATTTGATTACCTTGCTTCACACCCACATCCAAATGATTAGAAATTAGTTTTATTCTTTCAAAATCTAAACAGAAACGGGTCGCTGCTTCCACCTATACTCCCTGGGTGTAAGCCATCATTCTATCCTGGCTGAACAATTTTCTCCAACCTTGCAATTAACTTCCATTGTTTTTAGTTTGTTTGTTTGGCCTTTATCTCCCTTAGAGTCTATTGTAAACAAAATAGCCAGAGATCCTCAGATCACTTCTGGTCTACCTTTTTTTACTTCAAGCTTCACCAAAGGTCAAATCTGAACAATTTTCCATGGGAAGCCCTATTGAATCTGTTATCCCTCTATTTTTCTGATATTACCTTTCATCACTATTTTCCTTTCTGATTTTGCCCCAACCACAGTAATTTCCTTAATGTCTCTCTAACACAGATAGCATATATCCACCTCAAAATATTTATATTTACCCATCCTAAAACACTCTTCTCCAAAGTATTCAGGTGACTCATTGCATCAATCTATTTATATTTCTGTTCATATCTAGTCAGAGAGCCTTCCTTGACAGTCATATAAAATGACACTTCCTATTTTTCCTTTAATTATTGGCCACTACTTTTTTCTTTTTTTCATAACACTTAACCCCACCTGGAATAATATATAATTATTAGAGGCCCTGTGCATGGGGCATACCCTCAACCCCTCCTGCACCCTCTCCGATCCAGGACCCCTTAGGGAATGTCCTACTGGCAGTCAGACATCCCTTTCAATCTGGAAACACTGGCTCCTAACTGCTCACCTGCCTGCCTGCCTGATCACTCCTAACTGTCCTCCCCTGCCAGTCTGATCATCTTTAACCATCTCTGTCTGCCAGCCTGATCATCCCTAAATCCTCCCCTTCACCCCCTGGTCTGGTGACCTCAACTGCACCCCCTGCCATCCTGGTCACTCCCACTGCCCCCTCTGCTAGCCTGGTTGTCCCCAATTGTCCCCCCTGCCAGCCTGGTTTTCCCAACTGCCCACCTGCTGGCCTGCTTGAACCCACACAGCCTGCTGTCAGCTTTTGGGCATCTCTCAACATCCCCACTGCCAGCCTTGTCGCCCCACACAGCCTGCTGTTCAGTTGTTCATCTGTTTGTTTCAATTGTGATGGACCCTGGCTTTTTATATATTAGGATTACTTATTTATTGTTGATCTTCCACAATTATAGCAAAATATTATTGAGGATATATATATTTTTTTCAATAATTTTGTGGGTATTTTACCGCAAATAGGGCATGACATATATTAATGACTCATTTAACATTGAATGAGGGTTAAGAGGGGTGTTTCACAGTTTTTTTAAAATAAGAGTACTGGCACTCAGTTTTATTTTAAATAAGGACATTTATCTAAAAGTGCTACACTTTTCTTTATGGAGCACTGCTTTCAAATAAAAGTCTACAGTCTGATGCAAAAATTATCTTTCAAGCCAAGAAGTTTCTCTGTTACAGATTCCTAATCATAACCTAACACAATTTCACTTTGCTTCTCACCCTATTTAGTAGGATTCTTTATATGCCTGCATATGCTGTTTGATCATTGAAAAGTATTGTGTTCTATGTGTGATTAACACAAATAATAATAGTATATTTAAAATAATTATCTAAATAAACCTTCTTTATAAAATATCTAACTCTTGGCCTTGCCTGTGTGGCTCAGTTAGTTGAACCTTGTATTGTACAACGCACCAAGTGGTCACTGGCTGGATTTCTGGTCAAGACACATGCAACCGCACACCCCAATAGAGGTGTGCAACAGGCAGCTGATTTATGATTCTTTCATGGATGTTTCTCTTCGCCTTTCCTCTATTCCTAAAAATCAATAAAAATTTATTTTTTAAATTCTAAGTCTTTAGCAACTTTTTGGAGGACTCTGTGTGTATATGTGTGTGTGTGGTCTGGTTAGCTCTCTGTATAGCCAATTTTATAGATGTTTACTTGATAATTTCACATGGATAAATATTAACACATTAGTTCACAGAACCATCGACTGTCCATTAGTCAAGATGTCCAAGTTATTATTGTTGATCATCATCCCAATTTTTTGGTGATTAAATTCAAAGTTGGATTAACATTTTTAGAAGCTCTCTTAAAGTTTAGAAATAAGTAGAATTTAGCTCTTTCTCAAGTTTCTCAAATATTAATAAAAATTTCTGTCTCCCATAAAGCTATAGGTGTATTTTGAACTGACTTTATAGCAATCTTTTATTTTGAATGCTCATAGTTTTGACTTTGGCACAGGCTACAGAAAATACTTTATATAGGTCTCTTGCTCCCAAGTCTCTAAATTGCACATTCCGAAAAAGTGGCTATTTCTGCGCAGAACATAGAGATTGAAGGCAAGGCTATAACTCACTTTCAGCTTTTCCTCTGATGACATAAACCTCCAGTGCTTGTTGGTTTATGAACAGCCACAAAACACAGAGATTGAATTATGGCATGTGTCAGTGATGAGAGATAAAGACTTGGTACCCACAACTTAAAGATAAGTGTTTCCTTCCATTTAATTTTGAGAAAAGAAAAAAGAAAATGATCTTTAAACATTTAATAAAGAGTTCATTTCTATAGAAATTTATGTTTTATAAAAAATAAGTAGCAGGAGCAATTTAAGAAAATAGCAAATCTATGCTCAAGAGAACATAAAATATAGAGATGATACAAGAGAGTTCATAGGTAGATTGTGCATTTTACATAACTGAAATGTTTCTGAATTTCCTAAGAAAATTACCATTTCCCCCTCCTGAAAAAGGAGCACCTTACAAAGCATTGCATTATTGCATTCATGACCCTGATTTCTGTAAGTTCTATGGAGATTAGCAGTGTACCAAGATATTTTCTTCTTACTTATGGATGCCCTTGTTGGGGAGGACACTCCTCTTGCAAGGCCTGTCAGGAGGTAAAAATTGTGAACAATGCACTGCCTTGGGGGGGAGGGGGTCATTATCACTGGCCCCAGGACAGATCATCAGATATGGCCTGGGGAACCTCAACACCTGGGGCCTCCTATAAGCCCACAAAAGGGGTGGAACCCATATCTGCAAGACAAAGACCACAGAAGATTATAAAATGTGAAGCCCTGTGCATGTTTCTTCATTCTGATTTGGAAATTATTCCGAGTCCACTAGTGTTAATAAATGGGGTCCCTCCCTTTCTTTAGGAAGCAAGCTTGATATTCCTTTAGTCTTTTGCAACATTGTGAGGAAGAGGAGAAGAGTGGTAAATGCAGAATAAATAAAAGCCACAATTTATTATTTTATATGGTTAGATATTAAAGTGCTTTCTCAGAGCATTTTTTTAAAGTTTTCATGGTCATTCAGGTGCCAAGTATGAAACAGTTGCTGAGCTAATAAGCTATGTAGAAGCCAGCATGAGTAAAGAGTATGTTTCAATTTGGTTATCCTTGAGTCCATGCCCGAGGTTAGCAAGTATTTTATTTGGGATGTCTGGGAAGATCAACATGGGAGGAAAAAAAGTCTTACAATGTTTTATAGAAAAAAGAAGGTGCTACTGAGGGGTGGGTTATTGACCCAGCTTTCTCAGTTGCTAATGGAGCTTACTCTCTCAGGGAAACTCTGGGCAATAGTTTGAAATAAAACCACAGAATTATCCAGTCCAATTTTAATTTCAGATAAACAATGAATATTATTTTAGTATAGGAATGTCCCAAATATTGAATGATCACTGCCCTCTGATTGTCCACTGTTCCCATTCTATATCATTTATTTTTCATTTTCAATTAACATGTAACTGGACCTCCTGCCTTTTATTTGTTAAATCTAGAATGAAAAATGGGCTTGAAGCATATTTGTATGAAAATGTGCAGGCTAATAGTTTAGTTGATGGGTGTGAAGCTAGGTTTTTGGTGGAAATCCAAGAATTGCTATGATTTGAATTTGTGAGGCTGCATTAAGGAAACATCATATAATGCAGTATTTCTGAGCATCTTTTAGTTTTGGCATCAGAGAGATCTTGAATTGAATCCTGACTCCTCCAACTCACATCCTACTTGTATAACTTTGGGCAAGTTACTTGCCTTTTTGAGTTTTAATTTCTTTGTATCAAAAAAAAAATGAAAATAACAATCTATTGGTGTTTATATGTAAATCAACTAAAATAATGCACACAAATACATTTTAAAATGTAATGGGCGAAATACCTCCAGGAATCCCTCTCACACTAATTATTTTGCAGAACATGTAAGAATACATAACAGTAAAAATATTTTGTAGCATATATTACAACAAATAACAGTTAAAATATGCCAGTAAAGCACATTATTGAAAATCTCAGGTAGAATACACATTCAACATCCAATCCTTGACACAGTTAGAAAAGTAACTGTATAAGAGACTGAGAGTTGGGAACTGGAAGCTTTACCATTTTATACCTTAATATTGTGGGAAATGTGTTACTTTTATTTTTTCTTTTACTTTGCACTATGCACTGCTTATTGAAAATGTTGAACAAGAAATTATGGATGATCTTTGTTGCACCTCAGACAGTGCCAGGTTTCCTTATAATCAGTACTGAGTTCCTTTATTTTAGAGACCTCTGAGGTGCAGAACAGATCACAAGAAAGATTCAGGGACAAGCATAGGTTGCAGCATCTCAGATACTTAAGTGTCTGAAATAGAAGCAGCGGAACCAGAATAGCTATGAGTTGAGTTGTTTACGCCATCACTGTATTTGTTACAAGAAAGTCAATTCATTTTGGGTGACCTTCTTCCTTAGAGTACTGTCCTCCTGTCAGTGACACATTAGGTCTCCAGAGTTTTATCAGCAATGAAATATCTAGAGCTCATCATATAACATGCTCCCCAAAGAAGAATCATTCTATTTATTGACATCATCAATAGGTTAATTAAGAATTCTGTCCGTGATGATAAGAAACCTGACATATTTTCAATATCAACTGTCATTACTCAAGCCCAAAGCATAACATACATTTGTTCAGTAATAGTTTTGTCATGGGTTGGTGCATGACACTTAATATCTGCTCTGAACATAAAATCTAGTGTTGGAAAAACATGCTTTTGAAATCATTGTTATTCTTCTTAAATATAATTTTATTTCTCAGGTGAAAAAAAATAAACTTGTAAGCTAGTCAATGGATATTACATCAACTCATAAAGAACAGCTCTTTTATTGGTTTGTAGTTTTTTTTTTTTTTAAAAAAAGAGAATTATAAATGCAGTCAGTATACTATAATGGAAACCACTCAATACAGAAATGTTGAAGATTAGGCTTCAAAGCAAGATTCTAACACTGATAACATTATGTTATTAAAATACCTGGCCTCTCCACTTCATAATACTAAAGGAATAGATACAAAAAGAGAATATAACTCTGGTAAACATATATGTTCCTAATTCAGGAGCATTCAAATACAAAACAAAACAAAACAAAACAAAAAAAAACACCTTCTGGAAGATATCAAAAGAGAGATTGACAGCAATACAATCATAGTATGGGACTTTAATACCCCATTGACATCACTGGGTAAATTTTCTAGTTAAAAAATCAGCAAAGAAACAGAAATCCTAAATGACTCACTAGATCAGATGACTTCATTGACATCTTCAGAACATTTCACCCAAAAGCTACAGAATATATATTCTTCTCAAGTGCACCTGGGACACTTTCAAAGATAGACCACATATTGGAACACAGGAAAAGTCTCTTCAAATTCAAGAAGTTTGAAATCATATAACGTCTCTTCTCAGATCACAATGGCATAATACTAAAAATCAACTATAATGAAAACAATAAGGAAACCTCAAATATTTGGAGGCTAAATAGCATGCTATTAAACAATGATTGGGTTACCAAAGAGATAAAAGAATAAATTAAAAATATTTTTGAAACAAATGACAATGAAAACACAACAATCCAAAATCTATGGGACACACTGAAAGCAGTCCTGAGAGAGAAGTTCATAGCTCTGCAGGCCTACCTCAAAAAACAAGAAAAGTTGTAATAAATTATATAACTCCACAACTTAAAGAAATGGAAAGGCTGCAACAAGAAAAGCCCAAAGTGACCAGAAGAAAGGACATAATACAGATCAGAGCAAAAAATAAATGACATAGAGATCCTGTGGACTCAGACTCATACAGGGGGAGTCTGGACTGTCAGGTAGAGAGAAGGGCACATGGAGACTCAGGGGAGCTGCGGAGGGCAGGGTTCTGAAGAGGTGCATGCTAGTGGATGCAGAGAGGAATGGCTGCTGAGGATGCTGCTGGCTTTCCCTAGTAGGAGGGAGTTGGAAGCTCCCAACTGCACTGAACCCCCATTTTGACTGCACTGAACCCCAGTTCCGGGTGAGCCCCTGGGGACCCACACACTTACGGTGGGAATCTAGACTATCAAGCAGAACCTCAGGGGAGCCTCAAAAAGCAGAGGTCTGGAGGCGAATGCACAAGTGCTCACAGAGAGGACTGACTGCTGAGTGTGCCACTGGCTTTCTATAGCTGGAGGGAACTGGAAGCTACCTTTTGCACTGAACTCCAGTTTCAGGGAGAATCTGGGAATCCATATTCATTGTGGAAGAAACTGGACTATCTGGCAGCGGGCAAAACTCGAGGGCAGCTTTCTCTCAGATGTACTTGCACTTATTACTGA